GCAGCTGGACTGCATTTCTAGGTAGCCCAGGCAGTGGTGGCTCCTTCCAGCTACAGCCACCACTGGCCCAGCCCCATGGTACTGGCGGGGTACTGTCTGCACAGCCCCGACCCCAGCCCACCCTGCGCCCGCTCTGGACTCACCCTGGCTGGAGTGGACCAGCTCCAGACCAACCAGGACCCACTTACATAGCCCTGACTCCAGCCTGCCCTGTGCCTGCTCCGGATTGCCCACCAACACTGAACAGTGGCAATGACGGAGCAGAAGCTGCTGCTGGGAGTGGGAGAAAAGCAGCTGCCTCCCTACACCACTGCTGGGCCCTTCTTGCTTCAGCCACCCAGAGCCCATGCCCGTCATCACCGCTGCTTCCAAGCCACCCAGCAGATCAGTGGTGGCAGTAGAAAGGAGCTTCAGGGGAGCCTGGGTGCAGGCTCCAGATAGCTGCAGCAAAAAGGGCCCAGTAGCGGTAAAGAGGAGGCAGCTGCTTTTCCTCCCACACCTAGCAGCAGCTTCTGCCCAGCCACCACTGCTGCTGCTCAGCGTGGGCAGGCAGTCTGGAGGAGGTGCAGGGCGGGCCAGGGTTGGGGCTGTGCACAGGGGTTCCAGCTGGTCCGTTCTGGGCAGGGCAAGTCTGGAGTGGGTGTGGGGTGGGCCAGGGTTGGGGCTGAGACTGGGTTGGGGCCAGGACTGGCACCCAGCTGTTGCAGTGCACTAGTGGCGGTGGCAGGTAGGCGCCGCAGGGCACGTGGGCACCAAGCTGTTGCCAGGGGAGGAAGGGTGCTGACCAGCCCTCAACAGCACCCCAGAATTGCCTATGTGGTCTGCAGGCCCTGATAATTGACCACCCCCATCCTAGATAAATAGTATTCTTTTACTTTCTTTTCCTGATGTCATTTAAACTATTTCCATACATCTGATTTCTCCTAATCTAACTGACATATATTTTATATGTTCATCTGATTTATAATGTTGCTGCTTTTATCTTCTAAATTTCAAATAAAAAAGAATTTTCAAGTATTCACAAGTCTGAAAACATAGCACAGAGTACACGAAGCTGTGTACCAATGGATATGTGAACTTATTTTTAAATGTTGGCATTATGCAAGAAGTTGACTTACCTAATGAATAAATCCACGTGCTGCATAGCCACTTAGGAGCATAGCACCATGCAGAGCTCCACTATGTGCGCTGTCATAGGTTATAGATATTTTATTAGCGGCAAAGGCCCAATGTTAGTATCTCTGTACTGATTTGTTTAAAAATGGGTCACTTTAAGATTTTGGATATATAGAAACCTGATCTGTTCTTTTAAACGAATCTACTGGAATTTAGCCTTGTATTGTATAAAATCCTGGTATATTTTAATTGCTGTAACATTAAAATTTAATATGTTTTAAAGTACATTTTATCACTGCCCTAATGAACATTCTGAAGAGAACTGACAGAAACTCTAAAAATATATAGACCCCAATCTTGCAAATAATTGCAGAGGCACAACTTGCTTTTGAAAAGGGACATTGTCAGCATGAAAACAATAATTCAAAGGAGATACTAGCAAGAAGTGATATCATGAATCAGATGCATACCAAACTCCTGCAAAAGAAAGTTCCTAAATATTTGGAGAATAAAGGAATGAAAGACACCTTTTGGCTTACTGAGTCCAATCCCCTGCTATTGCAGGCCACCGTATCAAGAAATCCCTTCTATAAGAGAAAAATAATCATGCTGGTTAAAAGTAATCAAAGCAATCCTGTTTTCTTTATATGTGCTACAATAAAAGCAATGGGTTTTATTTTATTTGAAATGCAACTGCTTGAAATGTACTAGTTCTTAAGGATTGTAAAAAGTCTGTGTAATTATAACTAAACAACTCCATGTGTCCACATATGATAGCAGGTAATCTGTCCCACCCCAGATCCCTTCGAATTTAAGTCACGTACTTTGAAAAGGTGCAGCTGAGTGGCAGTAGTCACACCATTATACTGATGAGTCAAGGGGTGGATCCAGAGCAATGCAGTTGCATGCTCCCTGCATGCAGTGGCAGTGCTGGGAGTGGAGCCACAGCAGGGGGCATAGTCCCCCCAATCCTAGTTCCCAGAGGTGCCGCTGAGCACATGGGCCAGGCCTGGTGGGAACAGCCCAGCACAGCCTTCCCCTCCCCCTGAGGACACGGGGCCCAGGGGCTGGCGGGTGTGGGGGAGGGCAGGCTGCAACTGAGAGCTGGAAGGCTGCACCAGGCTGTTCCCACCAGGCCTATCCCACGCTGCGCTTGGCACGGACAGCGGTGGTGCTGGGAGCGGGGACACCCCCACCCCGTGGTCCCGCTCCCAGTGCTGCTGCCACAGCCACCTGGCCTGAGTGCAGCCCAGCCGGGAAGAGACCGGTGCTTCCTCGGCCCTAGCCCACCCGACCCCACATGCAGACCCGGGGGGCACATGCCCCCCCATGCCCTCCTGGGCTGTGTGCCCCTCCTCCCATGCTCCCCAGATGAGCCGCTTGCAGCTCTGTCCCCCGCCCCACCCCAGCTGTGTAGGGTTTGCCCCTGCCTCACCACCATTGACAGGGGGGTGCGATCAAGGCCCCAGCGGTGAGGGAGGGAGCGGGGTAGGGCTAGGGCCTCCGTCTGCCCTTCCCCCTGCCCCTCCCCACAAACTTACCTGCTGGGGTGGGGTAGATCTTCGGTTCCTCTTAAATTCCAAAAGTGATCTCCAACCTAAAAAGGCTGGAGACCACTGGCATAGACACGGCAATACCTATCCTTCTATACTCAATAATATGTTGCTCTGACAATTTTTTTTTTAATTATGAAAGGAAGTACATGATACATCAATAAACATGAATTACTAGTTTCCAATTAACACAGTTTAATGGGGACAAGTGTGATCATATTTTTAAATTGAAAATCTCAAACATATTCAACAAAAGTAATGTCTTTAAATTGTCCTAAAATTAGGAATTTAATAGTACTAGCATAGAAAAACATAAAAACAAACTTGTTGTGCGGGCCGGGAGCGGTCCGAGGCCCACGGGGGCGCGCGGCGGGCTGTGGCCAGCAGCCCTGGCACGCAGGTCGGGGAATGCAGGCCGGCGGACTAGAATTAGGCACGGACACTTAGCGGTTGATTAAAGATTATTTTACTTACACTGTAGATGGTCGCGGTGCAGGCAGGAAAACTTGCTTGAGTTGCAGTTACAGACAGGAAAGAAGAAAAGCGGACAAGAGTTCTAAACTCGCGAACTCTAGCCCAATCCGGCTGAAGGCTCTAAAAACGCGAGCCCGTCGTGTCAACCGAAGAAAACAACTCAGAGAAGAGCTCTGGATACACTCACACGAAGTTTGCTAGGCTCCGTGGAACTTGTGCGCAGGGAAGGGGTTCGTCGAGGGATCGTTCGGCGACGGGGAGAGGCCAGAGGTTGATCAGAAGACCCCTATAGCCTTCTTAAGGTACATGCTGGGTCCGTTAGGCTCTGCAGCGCTTAGAGTTCTTCACGAGACGTGAAGTCCTCCTCCTCCTCCAGATGGTTGTGGAGTTCTCCCTTGCGGGGTTCTCCTTGGAGTTCTCCAACTTGGGCGGTTGCAACTGAGAAATGCACCCTGCAAAGAAAGCTCCTCGTGGTGGGAAATAATTTAGCAGTGCCGAAGCGCGCACACACAAAATCACACTCTTGGGTTGTGACAGTTAGCAAATGCAAGGAAGAGACTGTGCATTACCACTGCAAATTTAAAGATACTTGTTGTGTAGAGAGAAAATCCTATTCTAATCTCTGACATATATACATTTTTAAGACCCTTCTCCCTATTTGAGAAAGCTGCAGGGGAAAAAAATTTTAAACCAGACCTCCCCCATTTAGTTTGCAACTCTCTTTTCTAAACTGAACTTCA